TGAGGCTGGTCCAGTGGCTGATGGGCAGGCTGATGATCTGAGTGAGTCAGATGGAGATGCAGTTGGGGCTTGCAGTGGGCTCTCTGGCCCCTATGGTCCAGGACAGAGTGGGTGTTCTCGCTTCTCTAGCACATGCTGTAAGAAGAAGGCAAAGTCGTGGCAGTTCCAATGGGTGTCAGAGCCTGTAATAATAAGTCTCATCAGTCTTACTGACACTTCTTGCAGCAGCTGTTGCTGTGACAAACTTTTCATTTGCTGAAGTTCAATGCATGTGTAGGGGCTGGAGGCTGGGGAGCAGGGGCATGTGGTCAAGGCTTCATGTAGAGCACACTGCATTTTATGAAACCATAGCATGGTGGGTGACAGAAACCAGTTTTTAGTTGTTACTCTTCTTGTTTAATTTAATTTAATTTAATTAATTAATTAATTAATTTATTTATTTTGGTTTTTTTCTCTGGTACTGGGAATCAAACTCACGACCTTGTGCTTGCCAGGCAGGTGCTGTGCCACTGAGCTAATTCCCTACCCGCTTCTTGTTTAATTTTAAATCCAGAACATGGGAAGTGGTTTTTGATCAAAGCCTGTGGATATTTCTGTTGTGTAATTTGGAATGTTTTGGCCCCAAAGGACTAAATGAAAAGTTCCTTGACTGATCCATTTTATGTTAGCATGTAAACAACTAAGAGCCTGAAATGCTGAAGTTTCTGTTAAACACCCCTGTTCAAGCCAAGAGGCTTCCAGGGGGAAGGAATGTGATAGCAGAAACTGGATTTCTTGTTGTGGTCAGTCACTAGAATCTACTGGTTTTACACTCTCCATGTGTCCTCTGTGTACCTTCAACTTTCCAGCAACAAGTTTGAGTTTCAGGTGTAGAACTTCACGCATCTGAGGATTAAATGAAAATTGCAAGGGAGAGAATTGTGTGATGTGACAGATTATCTTGAAGTATTTTACAAGCTTTCACAGTATGTTATTCTGATACCAGTAACTAAGACCATAATCCTCAGGCCGGACCCCAAAGGATATCCCAGACTCCTCTCTTTCATGCCCTATGGTTAGAATGAACATAGAATTTCTCATCCAAACCAGGTCACTTCAATGGGTGCAAGAAGCATTGTTAAAATTAAGCCAGGACAACTGACGCAAATTGAGATTTTCTTGGGCACAGTGAGACCTATGTTCTCGGAATTGTCTCCATCCTACGCCTTCAATGTCACTCGGTCTGTTGTCTCCGTGCAGTGCCATTGCTTTGGTTCAGCTCTCCCCAGTCCCACCTGAAATGTTGTGCCAGCCCCCTATTTGGTCTCTCTGCTTCATGCCTGGCTGCCTCAACCCATCCACCATCCTCACGCACACAAGCTCTGGTTTCAACCCCTGCAGCAGCTCCATGCCAGGAGGATAAGTACCTAAACTCCATGTAGAGAACATGGGCTTTCTCTGTTTTGTTTTGTTTGCTTGTTTGTTTTTTGCTGTTGGGGGCTGAGCTCAGGGCTCCATCGTGCTAAGCATGAGCTCTATCACCAAGCGGCACCCCTTGCTCCTCACATAGCCCTTCTTGAAATCTTCTTTCCTTTCCAGCATCTTTCCCACTCCTGTCTGCTCTGCACCCAGCGCTCTAGCTTTGCTGACTGGCTTGCCTTGCCTGATACAAAGCATCGCATGTCATTGTGCCAACCCCAGACTGAAACTCTGAGCCAAATTAAACCCTTCCTCTTTTTGGTTGTGGGTATCGGGTATTGTGTTCCAGTGACTGGAAAGGCATGTTCTAAGTTCCTGCACATGGTGTCCCCTTGATAAAGAAATATTTTACCCCATCTGTCTGCCTGTAAATCACTCAGGAGTTCACTGAAATGTCTGTCCTCTATTCTGGGAATATTTTGGTAATGGTGGATTTAGCCAAGAAGTATCCTGAAGGTGAGAGCTGTGCTTGATCATTTTCTGGAAGCTCTGGACCTCAGGCAGGGCCACTTCTGCTGTTTTGTGTGAATTTGAAACAAGAGTTCCCTCTGGACAGGAAAAGCAGCTACAAACTGCTTTTTGTTGAACTTAACAAGCAGACCCATCTCAGGTTTCAGACCAGAACCTCCAGCACCATTGCTCAGTGCACAGACTGCATACCAACCAAGGAGCAGGCCACGCTCAGACCTCTGCTCTCGGGGCACACCTGGAGAATGTCTATGGATGACCGTCTTCTAGGATGTGAATTCACCTCATCTCATTATCGTTATACCAAATGTGTACCTGCTGTAAGCCTGCACTTCTCTGCCATCTCCTCCTTCATTCATTCTTATTCACTGCTATCATCCTCCCGCCCATCCCAATGGATGCTTTTCCGTGACTCTTTCGGTCATTTATCTCATTTTCTTACTATCGCTTATGGCTGGTACATGCCAGTTCACAGTAGCAGTGCCTTTTAAGAGTGACACTGACTTATATCCACTAACTTTACACTACTTTCTAGGATGGCTCCCTTGATGGGTATAACAACTTATAACCATTGTTTATCCACATGACTTTTAGGCCGAAAGATTGTGCTATTATGGCATTTTTAGAATTTTAAGTGAGAAAAATTTATTCTGGACAAACTTAAGCAAAACATATGTTTAGGACACAGATTCTGCTCTATGTAATGCATATCAGGAGGGGCCACAGTGAGGCCTCAGCACACCTGGAGAGGCACAATAACACACTGGGATGCGCCCCTTCATTTCATACGTTGCACGTTTTCCTCACCTGTCTCACTGCCGAATGGTTGTCTCTTGTTCACATGGCAGAAAGCAAAGCCATTGGTAGCTGCTAAGTTTGTTTATGTTGCAGTTTTATCTACCTGAGAGGAACTGAATGATGCTTTCTCCAAAACAGTTCCAGATGCTGAAGGAGGGGCTTGCTGTTTCCGTGGCTTGGAAAGAGGGAAGGGAACTCTTCACAGAGGAGAAACACTTCATAGCATGGCAGGCAGAAAATAGCAAGCACCCAGCAGCAAGCCTGCCTTCCACCTTTCCCTTCTGTTTCTCTCAGGTTTCTAGCCTTTTGCGTGATGCCACCCATACCCAGGTTGGGGCTTCCATTATCCACACCCAGAGCTATTTGAAACTGATATAGTTATCATACACCCTTAATCCCAGTATCACACATCCTAATCCAGTCACCTCTGAAAAGCCCCACCTACGAGCACATGAGAATTCGGGGAGACATCAGGATATAAGACCTAACAGTGACCTCCAGAGCCATGACCCATGAGAGTCTGGTTACTATTTGAGCTGGCAGTAGACCTTGGTGTCACCTACATGTTGCTGGTTTTACAGACATGCAGAATATAAGAGTTGTGGGGTCCATGAGGCTTCTACCCAGAGTTAAGAAGGTCTGGAAGGTCAGGCAGTGTGTCCCTGAGAGGGCAGTATGTGAAGCTGTGAGAGAAAAGCTGTGTTGGTTTGGGGCTTATTTTGCAAGGGGAACAACATAATACAGGACATGTACTTTCTATGATTATTTATAAGTCACCCAAAGAACAGTATACAAAAGAGTACAGGAAATCTATCCACACACTAAGACCAAGGAATCCAGCTGAGGGCCTGGATCCCACAACAATGTCCTACATGAGTTGAGCTGAATACCCACAGCTCATAACAATGCCTCCCATGAATCCAACTGGAGGCCCAGAACCCATGACAACGTCTCATGCAGGCCTGTTTCACAGATCTGCTGGGAAGGCCCAAAGGTCAGTGGTGGAATCTACAAAGTCTGTGCCAGCAGGATGAAGGACCTGTGCTAGCAGGCTGAGGGATCTGCACTGGAGCCAAGAAGTGATGCTCAGAAGAACCAGAGCTCCCCCAAAAAGGTACCACAGCCATCCTCAGCAACAGTGAGGTCCCAAGCTCCTCCAATGAGCAGGATGGCCAAGTTCCAATCAGGGAAGCCAACACAGCAAGCTTTTCCAGGAGGCCGGCAGTGCACCATCTTCCTCTCCAAAACCAGGAAGCGATGCTCAAAGTGAGGACCAGAGCGCCCCAAAGTGAACTGAAGCCATTCTCAGTGCCAGAGAGGTCCTGAGCTCCTCAGAGGATGAAAACAGCCAAGTTCATCAGGAAAGCCAGCTCCCCACAGCCTCTCTCAGTTCCCAACAGCCTGCTTCTTCTTCTCCAGGTCTGCCTCTTATGCTGCTGGCAACAGTCCTCAGGTGGGCCTCCCACACCCGGCATCACAGTTACTCAGTTCAGCTGGGGGTTATAAGTTGACCACCAGTTATCAATCCACTACAGAAGCTGAAAGTGTAGTAGAGACCTAAGGAAGTTGGAGAAGTGAGGGACATGGAATGTCTGAGGAGACATGGAGTCAGCTCAAGAGAGAAGACATGAAGGCTACAATCACTGGTAATATGGTAGGGGCAGGGCCACCCAATCCCTTTGGAGATCCTTTTCACTATAACTTGCCTGGATTCTGGACATGGAACTATAGTATTTAATATTGGCCCTGCTGGATTGTGGTCTGGCTTTGGTCCCCTTCTTTCTAACCTCCTATTTTTTTTCTTTTTGGAATGGGAATGTTTAGCCTGTGCGGCTGTATGTTGGCAGAGTAACTTTAACTTTCTTTTTGATTTTTACATGGGCTCACAGCTAAGAGCTTGCCTTGAGTTTCATAGGAGACTGTTCTTGGACATTTCAGCAGTGTTGAAACTGTTAGAACACTGGCAACTCTGAGAGATGGACTAAATTTATTTTGCAAAAACAGGTATATGAGACTTTAGGAGGGCTAGGGGCAGAATGTGATGTTTTTTACCTAGATGTCTCCCAAAGCCTTATGAGATCGTAGCTGGGAACTTTGGATAGTTATTGTGTAATAAGGGCCATTGTGTTACACATAGCTGACTTACTGTTAAGAGATGGTGTCTGACCTGGAAGGTTATATCTCTCTTCAGGGCTCTTCCCTTGCCCCTCTGCCTCCTGCCTGCCGTGAAGTGAGCAGCTTTTCCTGTATGATGCCCCTCTGCCATGCTGTCCTGCCTTGGAGCCAATGGGCTATGGATCTACAAACTGTGAGCCAAAATAAACCTGTCCTCCTTTAAGTTGTGGGTGTTGGGTATTGTGTCTCAGAAATGAAGGCAGAGACTAAGATGCATTCTTTAATTTTAAAATAAAAGTTAACAGTTGAAAAGAACACATTTTCATTTTAAAGATGCTTAAACTTAGTAAAATGTTTAATTATGATTTATATTTCACACTTACTAAGAAAAATATTAGACTTTATAATTCACAATTTGTTTTAAATTTAAAACAAAATTCCAAATATTCCCATAGAACAACAATTGAAATAACTTATCTTGTGATTTTTGTACTATAATTTTTTTATTTTGGATTTCATGTAAATTGTTTATCTTGAATTTGTTTAATTGAATCTTGCATATACTCAGAAACATGAAGTACTACAAGAGGAAGAGACACAAACTCTACCTGGCACAAGTGTGAATCATTTCAAACCATTAAGAACCACTCTTGGAATGAATGAATATAGCTGAATCTGCCAGTGTCTTATGGGGAAGGAGAAGGACTAATTGTGTAAGTGAACATTTTCTGATTTAACTCTCATGTAGAATACAATGCTTAGTAAAGAATAAACAATAGCTAGGCATAACGGTGCATATCTGCAACCCAAGTTGCGTGGGAGACTGAGGCAGGGAAATTGCCAGTTGAAGAGCGGCCTGGGCAACTTAGTGAAACCCTGTCTCAAAGAAATAAAATAAAAAGAGAAGAGAAGAAAAAGTAACAAAAATGTACAAATTTGAAACTTACATGGCACAGAGTTTCACTAAGTTGCCCAGGCTGGGCATGGTGGCTCATGCCTGTAATCCTAGCACTCTGGAGGCTGAGGCAGGAGGATCACTGTGAGTTCGAGACCAGCCTGGGCCACAAAGTGAGCTCAAGACCAGCCTGAACTGCATAGTGAGACCTTGTCTCAAAAAGACTAAAAAATAAAATAAATAAAAAATAAAAAAGAGAGAAAGACTCAACAGTAACTATAACTATTGTTTACAACTTAATAAAAGACCCACCACCACCACTACCACCTTCTATCTTGGAAGGATTATGTTGTCACTGATACTGTTTTAACTGGTGATCATAAAAATCGAACCCACACATCCTTAATCTTATCGTTGTTTTAAGAATCTCTACAGTGTTTTTCCCTGTTGCATATACTGCGGATGATCATCAGCTCATGCTGTTCTGTTCTCTCCTGAGACTCCTTGGATTTTAAACCAGAGGAACGGCTCAGTTAACCTAGGATGGAGGTATAGCTGGAGACTAGGCCAGGACTTAACCTCTAGAGCAGTGATGGCGAACCTTTTAGAGATGAGTACCCAAACTGCAACCCCAAACCCACCTACTAACTGCAAAGTGCCAACGCTGCAATTAAACCTGAATCTTGAGGTTTTAGTTTAGAGAAAACAACTCAAACTTTAACATCTTTTGTCTTAAAAGAACAAACAACACATGGGCCATAGTCTCACCACCACTGCTCTAGACATTCTTATGTGTAGGGAGTTCCAGGCAGGATGAGGGGAGGAGGCAGAAGGGAGAGAGGCAGGTGTGTCAATATGCTTTATTTTTTTCAAAGAAATGTAAAGCAAATACGGCAATGATTTTAAGATTGAGATAGAGCTGAGCAGTAGATAAAGAGGTATTTTATATAATTTTCTATATTTTTGAAACATAACAAATGATAAGCAGCGGAATGAATGACATCACATTCTGATCACTTGAAAGTAAACACAATCTCTTTTCAAAATCATCACAAAAAGTCCTCATTGAAATCAAGGTTTCGGGCCTAAACATTCTCATAGTTGCTTAAATTTCTCCATAGCGAAGAGGGGGAGATTGGAATGGGATAAGAATCTAGAAGCAGACCTGCATTTCTTGGCAGGCAGCGAAGGGTGGAGAAGCAGCCGGTGAGGCAGGTGGGAGGGAACGGTGGGAGGGCAGAGGCTGGCATCAAGGTGTCTCTTACTCTCTCGCAGTTTCTCACCACAGAGGCCTGGGCATGTGGCTTGGTGACAGGCTGCCTATCTGCCACATATGAGGTCCTGGGTTTGATCCTCATCCCTGGAAGAAGAAAGCCATAGAGTCAGCTTTGAACACAAACTGGTTTTCTGAGACATATTCACCTAAGGAATAAAAATCAACCTCCGGCTGGATGTTGTGGATTTCATCTCTGTTGCTATTTCCCTAGGATCCTCTGGCTCATTGTGAGACCACACTGACACCCCAAAATTGTTTCTTCCACTTTGTGAAATACTAGTCTCATTGGTTCACTTGGGAACCTAAATATTTGTAATGTTAAGAATATATGTCCCTGCTAGCCACGGTTGTGTATGCCCGTGATCTCAGCATCTGGATGGCTGAGGCAGGAGGATCACAAGAATGAGCTCAGAACCAGTGACTTAGCAAGACCGTGTCTCAAAATAACAAACAAAAAAAGGACTGAGGACACAGCTCAGTGTGGAGGCAATCAAAAGAAAAACAGGAAGGTGTGTCCAAAGAATCAAACTGTAGAGTGCCAGTATATATTTGGACACGAATCTGTTTATAAATTTGGAACAATCCATTTCTCATTAGATAATTATAATGGCTGATTGCAAAATGGCTTCCCTTCTTCTCTTCGGCAATGTTATTTTGCAGCTCCTCCCATTCAGACATGAACACTGCCCCTTCCACCTTTGAAACCAGGCTGGCTTTATCCCTGTGACCAAGACAGTGTTATAAGAGAGAGCATGCACGCTGAGCCTAGGCCTCAAGAGACCTTGATTGTTTCTACTCTTTCTCTCCTGACTTTGCCATGAAAATAAACTTGGACTAATTGCTGGAGGATGCAGCACCCTGTGGAGCAGAACTAGGAAGTCTGCAAGTTCAAATCTAGCCTTGGCAACTTAGCAATTTAGCAAGACTTTGTTTCAAAATAAAAAAAATCGAAAAGGAGCGGAGATGCAGCTCAGTGCCGAGGCCACCCTAGACCAAGGAAGCCACAGTCAACAAGGCAGCTGACCATCTGAGTTAGCCCAGGCCGGGTCAGCCACGCTACTTACCATGATCTCACATAAGCCACAAGAATTAGAAAGTGGATAAAGTTCAAGGCCAAAAGTTTCGTCTTACAGAACAGCAATAACTAATCGATTCAATTAATGTACATAAGATGGAAGCTCGGTGCTCTAGATTAGATACACCCATACTTTCTCAATTGCTTGAGACTTTAATTTGATATATACTAGAAGTCCACTACTTTGAACATTGATTTGTGACTGTTACTTATTCATAAAGATGTGATTTTTAAACGCATTACTGAAAGAAGTAATCATGGGAAAGGAGTGGGTTAATTTTACTCAGATTAAAACGGCTTCACTCAATACCTGTCACATGACCGTCTCAAATCTTAATGTTATGGCAACATAATCACATTCTTTTGCTCATTAAGTAGAAGGATATGATTTCAATTTGGCTACTTCTCGGAGAGCAGAAAATTGCTGAGATGATACTAATGAAATGCTCACTGACTTACATGCCCTTACAAATATCTCAATTATTTGTGTCGTTCTCTGTTTTCCTTTGACCTTTCTCCACAGACATCTACTTGGCATATCATACAAAGGGATGTTTTTCAGCAGAGAGGGAAGAAAATGTTCACCTGTTTCGAAAAGCTGCCACCAGGATCCTGACACTGGCAAAGATTCTTTCTCTCATCGCCATATTATTTCCCTGAACAGACTGTAATTTCATCAATTTTCCATGCTTACGGTCATGAATGCTCGGCATTACCATATCTTAACGTTAACAAAAAAGGAATTTCATGCCTCCGGTTTTCGCTTGAAGGCAAGGAAGGCGTGAAGACCTCATCAGAAATATGGTGTGTTCATGCTGGCTCATTTGGGGCTCTATGTGTAGGCTGGCCTTTGCCGTTCTTCCGTCTCCTGATGCCAGCGGTAAATGTCCCTCCTACCCTCTGTGCCGTCCTCCTGCCCAGACCGCTGAGGTAACAAGGAGGTCAATACATTTGCTGCAGCCAGTTTTTTGATATAGACAATATTAGTGCTTAACAAGTTGAGACTCTTTTATTTCTAGAATCAGAGTAAAAACCATTTATGGCAACATTTGGATAGCATTTATAAATAATGGATTTGATTTTCCTAGAATACTCCTATGGTTTTAAAATTAGATAAACGTATGTGTCACCTTTCAAAATTTGTAATTATAAGTCATGATAAAGCCTACTTAGTGTTAAAAAAAAAAACCTCTGTCATGTGGGAGAAGTGCCTTACTACATGAACTGATTTGTGCCTCTGGTCTGTTTTGAACTTGTTTCGGACTCTGGTTGTTATTTACTAGGTATAAGTCTTCTGGGGAAAGTTACCTATTATTCAGATGCAAATGTGGCTTCTCTGTGCTTGTTTTCTTGTGTAAAATGATAATTGTGGTGCCTAAGAGTGAGGCTTCAGTTTGTTGACATAAAATGCTCGGAGCAGCTTTGGGATGTGTAAGCACTCAATAAATGTTTATTTAGTGATGTTAACTTGTATTTTAAAATTATTTGTGCATATTTTACTTTTAGGATTTTACTGTTCCTCAAAAAAAACAAAAAGACTTTCTCATGCTCTCTTACGTGAGTTTGATGTTTGGGTCTCTGAAAGCTGTGGACAGAACAAGGATTGATTATCACACCCAGTTTACAGATGAGGAAGCGAAGGCTCTGTGACTAGCTTGCGCTCAGTTAGCTAGGAAGGGTCAAAGGAGGGTCTTGAGTTTGTGCCTCTGGACTTTTAGTTCTTTGTTCACTGCTTCCACCTGCTGTCATTCACCTTTCACAGATGGAGAAGATGCCGTGGGAGCAAAGTCGGGTCCTCATCTTAGCAGTGAGCCTCAAATGTTGGTGTAAGTGTTAACAACTGGGGGTTAAACCCAATGCAGATACGTGGACCCCTTTCCAGAAGATGTTGATTTTAGGCATCAAGGGACTTAGTCTGTGACTTTAGTGACTACCCTAAGTTGTTTCAATGTCTAAGATTCGTGGACCGTACTTTGAAAACATTGTTTCAGAAAGCAGCTACCTTTCCCTGACTACAACTAATACCCATTTACAATTGCCCAGATACTTTCAAAAAATGGAAAAAAGGTATTTTTTATTTGGAGAAGTAGCATAAGCTGACTGAAACATGATCTTGTTTTTGATAAAGCAATGAACAAGATGAACAATGACCCTGCAGCATATAATTCTGGCAGAGGAGATAGGAATCAAACAAACACACAAATAGAACGCAGCGTATAAACACTATGTAGTGGTTAGTAAGAGGAAAACACTGGAAATACGACATGATTCCATATGGAGAAAATCCTAAGAGCCGACAAAACAAATCTGTTAGAATAAGCAAATTCAGCAGGGGCAGACTATAAAATCAACACAGGAAATGTAGTTGTATTTCTATATATTAGCAACGAACAACCCAAAAAGGAAATTAAGAGAATAATTCCAGATACAGTACCATCAGAAGAATGGAATATTTAGGAATTAGCCATGAACTAAGAAGGGGAAAGACTTGCACTACATTGAAAACTATAAAATATTGCTGAAAAATTAAAAAATAAGTAAATAAATGAAAAAACATCCTGTGTTCATGGAGTGGGAGACTTAATGTTGTTAAGATGTCAATATCCTCCAAGCAATCTGTAGATCAAATGCAATGAGATCGAAATCTTGAAGTTGTTTTTTTGCAGACTAGAAACAGCCATTCTTAAATTCCTGTAATCTGAGGGACCACATAGCAAAAACAAACAAAACTGAACAGCAACAACAACAAAACTTGAACAAAGAAGAATAATCTTGGAAATTGGAGACTCATAATTCCTGATTTCAAAATTTATGAGAAAGCTATAGTCATCAAAACAATGTAGTACTGGCATAAGACAGACAAACGGAGCCCATGGAAAAGAGTAACACAGGAATATTTGGTTAAGTGACTTTCAACAAATGCCCAAGCCTATTTGAAGGGGAAAAGATATTCTTTTCAGTAAATGATACTGAGAAGTCTGGATACCCACATGCAAAAGGATGAAGTTGGACTCTTAGATTATAGCATATACAAAAGTCAACTCACAATGAATCAAAAACCTAAACAGAAGATGTCAAACTATGACACTCTTAGAAGAAAACATAGGCAAAAACTTTCAGGACATGGGGTTTGGCAATGATTTCTTGGATATGACACAAAAGTATAGGAAACAAAATAATAAGATAAATTGAATTTCATAAAAATGAAAAACTTTTGTGCAGTAAAGTATACCATCAACAGAATTAAAGGACTACTCTCAATGGGAGAAAATAACTGCAAGTCACATATCTGATACGGGTTTATATCTGGAATATAGAAAGAACCCTGAACTCATTAACAGCAACAGCAAAAAAACCAAGCAGCCTTATATAAAATGGACAAAGTGCTTACATAGACATTTGTCCCTAGAAATATTCAACTGGCTCATAACCACGGGAATGCTGCTCAACATCATTGATCATTAAGGACGTGCAACCCAAAATCGCAATGAGACATCATTTTCACATCCATTAGGATGGCTCTCATAAATGCGAATAAAACCAAATACTCAGGAACCAACCAGCATTGGCCAGGATATGGAGAGGTGGGGCCACTGCACATTACTAAAGAAATGAAATGGTACATCTGCTACGGAAATCAGTATGGCAGCTCCTCAAAAAGTCACATAAATAATTATCATATAACCCAGCAATTCCCCTTCTAGGTGTGTACCCAAAGGAATTGAAAGTAGGAACTTGAGCCAATTTTCATAGCTGCGTTGTTTACAATAGCGAAAAGGTGGAAGCAACCCAAGTGCCTGTGGCTGGGTGAAAGGATAAATATATGGGGTATGTGTGCAAGTTACCCTTAAACATAAGTGAAATCTCGATCCATGTTCCCACAGGGATGAACCTTAAAGGCACTCTAAGTGAACTAAATGGTACACCAAAGAAGAAATATTGTATGAATCTGCTTATATGAGGTACCTGGAAGGGTGAAATTCATATTATATATTTTACTGCAATAAAAAGTAGGGGTTTCTACATGTTTCATAAGTATGAACAATGAAAATACTTGGAGAAAAAAATGGCATCCTATTTTACTGTATTAATCTAATTATG